AAAAATCATGTGATATGGCGTCATTTCGACTATTTCGCGACTTTAGCCTTCAATGGTCGAAATGATTTCGACCATTTTGACCATTTCGGATATCTGAAATGATCCATTTCGACTTCACATATAATAATGACAGTCAATTTCTATAAAAAGTAATATAATTTCAGATTCAGGCTAGTATTACAAATAGAGCTGGGTATTATTTAGAAAATCTGTTTAGATTAAATTATTCAGATAACTATTAACTTGTACTAATCATTTCTATCAAACACATTTGGGAAAACAAATCTGGAACATGTTCTTAGTTTCAGGTACCTTTACATCTCGTGTGGGTGATAACGGTTCATAAGAGCTAAGGGTTTACATTACCAAAGGCTAAAATCGATCTTAGAAGTAAGAAGTTTGCTGCTAGTCTTTCGTTCGTTACGGTGTCAAGAGTTCATTCACTAAATGATATTTATTTCAAGCAATTTACTTTTGAAAGACTTCAACGAATTTAGAGCTGCAAAAAACTACAAGAAAGGAAGGTTGAAGAAGAGCATCTACTTTCTATAATATCAAGAGAGTGAAAAAATTAAATTTTTTAGTAATATATAAATTATTTTACAAAATTTTTTATTTTTTAGCAATACAATATATGAATTTATTTCTTAATTTTTTTAGCAATTACATATTTAGTTTTACACTAGACTATTTTATAATAATAAAGTTTTACACTAATTACAGAAAGGACATTCAGACATTTGAGTCAAACAACATAGAATTATATAGTGCTTCGCTACGTCTTGAACAATTAATAATAGCTTATTAGATAATAAAATATTAGATAATGAAAATAAAGAAGAAGAAGAAGAAGAAGAAATAATAGAAGAAAAAATATTGGTAGACTTTAAAAAGGCTTTAGAATTTATAAAAACTTGGTAAAATATATTTTAATATATATACACTACCCTATCAAAAGTATCTGGTAAAGCTTTTTTTAATTTTTTTGAGATTAGATATATTAATTAATATAAATTATTTTTTTAAATAAATGCTTGATTTTTGACAATTAAAATTTGTTTATTTGTTTATTGTTATGACGTATACACTAATTTGGCAATAAAATAATGATCAATTTTGTGTAGTAATGATCTTTAACTTTTCTTATTGCGTTATCTAAGCATATTTTGAAATAGGAAAAAATCGCGAATTAAATGAATTTGAGCGTGACAAAGTCATTGGACTTTGAATAGGATGAAGGACTCATGAAGCCATTAATCGTGTCTTAAAAATTCCAAAAAGTACTATTACAGACAATTTCTCGATACAAAAATCTCAACAATGGATTAACAGTTAAAAGAATCAAAAATTGTCAAAAAAACAATCGACTTTCTCTTGAAGAAATTCAACAGAAATTTAATAATTCACAAGATAAAAATATTTCAGCTGTAACCATTTGTAAAAACCTTTATCAAATAGGGATGAATTCACGGGTTTTTGCACCAAAACCACTTCTTTAATGAATCCCAACGTGAAAAATGATTGTTATGGTATATGGAACAACAAAATTGGTCAGTTAGACAGTGGAAAACTGTCATCTGGAGTGATAAGTCCAGATTTACCATTTTTCAAAATGATGGTCCTGTTCGTGTTTGGCGAAAAGATGGAACCCGATACAATATTAAGAATTTAACACCAATGATTAAACATGATGGCGGAAGTATTATGGTATAGGGATGTTTTTCAGGAAAAGGATTGGGACCATTGGTAAAAGTAGATGGTAAAATGAATAGATTTGGTTACATTGATATTTTAGAAAAAAATTTATTATCATTCATCAAATCTAAACATCATAAACAGCCTTATTCATTTCAGGATGATAATGCTCCTGTTCATATCGCGAAGGATGTCAAAAATTGGATTATACAGAAAAAAGATTAAGATTCTTCCAGATTGGCCTTCTCAATCTCCAGATCTTAATCCTATTGAACATTTGTGGCATGAACTAGAATGGAGACTTCAAAAATGATCAGGGTATCCAAAAAATTTAAATGAACTTGAAAAAGCATTGCAAGAAGAATGGAAAAAAATTCCATCTGAAACTTATATTAATTTAATTAAAAGCATGCCACATCGGATAGAAGCATGTATTGAAAATCAAGGATGGCTAACTAAATATTAAAAATTTATAATATTTATAATAAAATAAAATTATTAAATTGATCAACCGGATACTTTTGATAGGGTAGTGTATATTAATTAATAAAACTTTAAAACTTCGGCTCTCATCTAAGTTTCGCTAGAGCAAAGATCACCAGATCATTTTTTACCCAAATGTAAGAAAAGAACGAACGACATATTAGTGAAAAAAAACTGCGTAACGATAAATTAGATTTTAAAAAAAAATCGCATCTTTTTTTTATTACTTTAAATCGATTGACATTAAATGTTACACAATATAAAAAAGATCGACATTTGATTTTATCACCAGGTGATATAACGAATGTCCATTATGCTGGCGCAGTGTATTTTTTTCATTATTCATCTTTTTCTGGATTACATGAAAAATACGATTAGCTTGTGATCCTGAGTCGTTCATTGAAATGTGTAGTCACAACCAGAATACTCCTATGTAATGTCTCATCCGAAATTTTTTTCGCTGGCACTTACGTGTATATGCAAAACACCTTGGTAAATGTATGCGCTAGAAAAAAAAAATTAATATGTGCGTTTCTCAGATATTAACTCAGGTGATTGACCATTTCGGTAATTCCCGTACATTTATTCTTTCACGTCTCTATGATAGAGAACAAAAATAAGGAAGACTTTGAGAAACGATTAATATGTAACCAGCTCAAGAGCGAGAGAACTCTGTGATGAAAATTGTTCTTGGTATATAGCATTACAAAAATCCGCATATACTGTAGTTATTCCGGAACATTTTAAAGAGATAGGACTTATTAAAACTTAACGATAAGAGTAGTCAATTACATGCATATACATTGTCAAATACAATACGCATCCCACATACTGTACACATGTATAAAATATCTCTAAAAGCTCAATACAAGTATTTTTCAACATATCTTTTTCACTAAATTAATAAAATTTTATAATTTCTGCCAGATCGAATTGGAGAATTATCAAGATCACTATCTTCATTTGCGTCTTTAATACCGATCTTGTGTCTATCTTTATTTGGTGTAAATGGATACGCTGGAAGACTTCCGGAAAGTTTTGATGATTCAAACAAATTATCATTATGTTCATCTCTCAGCTGAAATATTGTGTTGGAAGTTTCCAATAATCCACACTGTGTATCAAGAGACTGGTAAGGTAATGACGAAGTATTACAAAATAATTATAAGCCATATACAACATACTGTACCTTGAGATCCCAAAGGAGGACAACGAAATCGAAAATATGTTTACGATGTTCTTCATAACAAATCGGTACAATTGACTTATGTGATCGTTCGTATTGCAGAACACCGCAGGACGGGATATACATTTGCCACAATTCAATGCGATCCTCTATAAAATGCAGGAAGTTAAATAAAAAATTATTGAAAAATAAGAAAAAAAAATTTTTAAAATACTTTCCATAGGTGTGTAACGAAAAAACTCTTAACTTCGAAAAAGTTTCAGGAGAACCACCCCGAAACTGCTCACCAATTTCTTCCAACATATAAGAGTTACCAATCGGTAGCTTACAACACCCATCCCAAGTAGAACGAGGAATATCTTTATGCCCATATCCTCCACTCATTTCTAAGTGGCCTACTTCCATTAATGATTTTCTTAATTTTACGGTAAAGACACCATCAGATTTTTGCTCATAAGAGCTGGTACATTTTCGTCGACTTCTGCAAGATTTAACTGATGATAAAATGACTTCCCCCCTTAAACAAAACTATGTCAGTATACAATATTTATCAAACATCAAACATCAAGTATCACCCCAAATAAAAGCTACTTACATATGATAATATAAACGATCTTCTAAGCCGACAAGTATTTTTTTTAAGCAAGGATGTATCAGATAACCTCCGTAATCGGCCTCTGAAACATCTAGCTGTTGCATAACAGAATCTTCTATAAAAACATATTTATGGAATAAAGATAAAACTTTCGCGAAAAAAGCAGTGAATGGATCTTCAGGATTTAATATTAAACACGTTATCTTAATATTTTTCAAAATAAGATCTTCTTCACCGGAATTCTGGCTAGTAATATCTTCCAGGAGATGAGCATTTAATTTGTCTCTTTTGAACTTTTTTATTTCAAGTCCCAAAGATTTTAATGATTTTATTTTCAAAAGTTCAATAATATCTTTTGGAGGACTTGTAATACTTGGGCGTTTAGTAAAGCTCTGTATTTCGGTGTATTCTTCATTACTTAACCATTTCGGTTTTGCTATCTTGAAACCACAACGAATGATTCTCCAAACCTCTGGTCTCAGAGGATGTCCTTTGACATTTGATGCTTTCTCTAGCAAGTCAGTAACTACCGAACCAGATTTTAATGTCCAACAATTCCAAGAATCATAATTGAAAGAGCGTTCAAAATAAGGAATCATGGTTTCATTAGTTTCTTTAAGTACTAATTCCGGGTCAATCTTTATGCCCTCTTCATAATTTGGAAGTCCTCCATAAAAGATAGAGTGCTGATTGGATTCCGAAAACTTAGGTGACTCAATAATAAGGTTATCTGGTCGTTGCGGTGATTGTCGTGGTGATTGTCGTCGTGGTGGTGATGGTGTGGTGTAACGGTCTCGATTATATTGCCTTTTTAATACTCGTTCTTCCTCAGCATCACTTGCATTTTCTCTTTTTCCTAGGGTATTTGTACTTCGCAACAGATTTGACATATTCTGAAATGAAGATATAGTCGTTTCCTGCTTATGGACTCTCTCAGAAAGTTAAAGATCATGGTTTCGATCATAGAAGTCGATATACCATTCTCTGCAACTGTTTAAAATAGACGAACCTTCAAAACTATTAACATCTAATAAGTCCTTACAAAATGAACATATAGAACCCGGAACATTTTTATAATTATTTCTTTTAATATTTTCGATTGATTCTTGCCAATCTTTGTAAACCTTTGTCCAAGATGGAAGTACGTCTTCCCTTTCTAAACGATGATTTAGATAGTGTTTTAGCTTCCATTCTTGTGCTTCTACTTCTCTAAAATAATAACTAACGCCTTCTATTTCAGCGGGTGCGCAAAAATCCGAGTATTTAATGTCGTGTCGCTGTCATGTCAACTTTTTTTTTTTTACGCTTTGACAAACTCTGGCAAACTTACTTATCTCAGTTATCTGTTTAATTTCTTAATGCCGTAATGCCGGCCACAATAACACGTGAAAGTGAAATCTTTGTTGGTAATACAGTTATTTACGCGTTCCTCACCATTACGCATTTACACAAAAAATGTACTGGAGGAATGCAACTATGCTGAAGTTCATCACGACTGTCCAGGCATTGGCGGTGAGAACTTCCTTTGTATCTTTGATACATAAGAGACGCCATAGCTTTATGTCTGTCCAGGCATTGGCGGTAAAGTTATGAGTTGCTTTGTGGCTAACAACTGCTACGTCTGTCCAGGCATTGGCGGTAGCAGTTGATCCATTGATTTTGCTGAAGTTTCTTATGACTGTCCAGGCATTGGCGGTAAGAACTTCCCTTGTGTCTTTTGATACTTGAGAGAAGCCATAATTTCATGTCTGTCCAGGCATTGGCGGTGAAGTTATGAATCAGTGAATATCCAAGTTATTTCTTGGTAGTCACTAGCCTCCTATCTAATTATCTGTAGCATAACGGAGATTTTATTGTTTCCTAACTAGTTTTAAAATTCAAAATATACAGTTAAAAAAACTGGGCGAAACTTTATTAATTTTTAGTTGTAAGTAGCGAATGAAATATATATGATGCTTCAAAGATGGAGGGAGTACGCGGATCCTAGACCATTTAATGCGAGTCCCAGCATCAAGTTATTTCTTTGCTCTATTATAAATTTCTATACTAATTGTTTTTTTCCTATTACTATTGCTAACTACGAGATTTTTACACCAATACATTTTTTCTACACAATTATCGCACACAAATTTTCGCCTATCTATATCACAACCACCCGCACATATTATATAAAATAATATTCCCATAAGAGAACTAACTCAAGATTAAGAAATTTCGAACCTATAGAATAAATTAGGGAGATTAGCAACTGAGGTAAAAAAAAAAAAATATAATATATTTCTGATTCATACTTACCATTACATCTCACTTTCAGAATATTCCAGTCCGCCTTGTTTTCAAGAAATTTGACGATACTGCACCAAGTATTAAGAATTCGGCATGTGAAGATGCTTATCATAAATTTTACTACGCTGATGATACACGTGGAGTTGATTAGATAAGATAATATCTCATCACGGGAATTTATTTTTGTAATACTACGTCTATTGTACGCATGATGATTTTCTCGGCGAAGATCAAAACGCCGATATATAACAAGAAGAGCAATATGTCAGTTTTATTTTGGAACATCTATAGAGGCGAGAAAATCGTGATGACATGTTTCAAGAAGCTAGCCGAACGAAAATCAGACATACCTTTTCTTGCTTTGCTTATTCGTTTGATTAATGATATTGATGATGTAAATAATAGTAAGTTTGAATGTTTCGCTTATTTTTTCATTTTTTTTTTATTTGCACAAGGTGGATAAATGGATTCACTAACCAGGTTATCACCTTTTTATAAAATTCACAGGATCGATTTTGTTATACGCTTTTGGGGAAATCACGTTAATATGATCGCATCACGAAAATCTGATTAACGGACTTTCCTTAATATAACAATAAAAAAATTTAACGCTATTCATATGTAAAGATCATCAAGGGGTCCTTTTACAATAATATACATGAATATGCGAGAAAGTTTGAGAATAAAAGTCCCTGGATCTTTGCCAATGATTCTATTGTCCAATAATTAGCCGATCTGAGCTAGTGCTTCGATCCGTGATCACCTCCTCCCTGCTTTTTCATGGTTATTCGCAGATTGGTCAGGAAAGAATTTATCGGTTTTTATCCGGATCGAAGCACTATCCCGAGCTTCAAAATTACCCTGTGTTAGAATGCATTAGCTTAGCGATCAAAAAATTTAGCATATAATTTAATGTCATTAGTCAGAAAAGCATATGCGAAAAATAAAGTGATATGTTTTTATCTGCTATACATTGAAATAAATACGTAGATCGGGATTCATAGCCCGTAATACACTAATACATGCTGTGTCATATGATAATCGTGATGACTCTTCTTCCTTCCCAACCAATAGAAGCAGGATCTACCGGCTAATTTCAATGACGTCTGCGCATAACATATACTGCGGAAGAATATGATTCTCCATTTAGCACGGTCTAACCCCATAGATTTGCAAAATAACTGGCGGGCATTTCATAAGACCTTGGCCCTGTTTCATTATTACAAAAATAGCATACCCGGGGTCTCATAAAGACAATCCTCCTAGCCATTATTACGAAAATAACACATCTGGATCTAAAAATAAAAACACTGCGGAAATAGTACAAGGGCATAGTTAAATCACAAGAGAAGTATAAAGATGACGTACTTATTGCGCATGATATATAGAAAGCCGGCAAGAATTTTACCAAATATCTTCTGCGCATTTCAGGTGATCAGGTTTAGAATACCGCAGTCTTTTTTGGATAAGTTACCCACATGATTCGAAAAAAAGAAATAACCTATACGATAATTCAGTCTATGTGAATATGTGATTTCGCTTGATAATTCTCCTAAGCGGTTACCAGAGAGATAATAGGACTCATTACTGACTGAGATACAGGATCATCAAAATATATATTATGGTTCTCGTGAATTTTCATAAGTATTTTATCAAAATCGTCATTGGCAACTCAGCAATGCAAATGAAGAATTAAGAAATTTAAGGATGGAATTTAGCAAAGTTACTGAAGATAATGAAGCACTTATTCGTAAAAATAAGAGTTTGTGAGACAAATTTGAATAAAGTCAATGAAGACGTAGAGATGAAGAAACAGACGAAGGTCATCAAGGAAAGTAAACTCAACACAGTAGTGAAGACTAAAGCAATAAAGAGGAATATAACAATAATAAAGCAGCAAGGATTTGTTTAAAAACTCTTTAACTTTTCTGAATTTTAATTAAAATAACTTTAATTCTAACCGATTTTTAATCTAATATAACCTACATCAATGAAATTAACTTAATTCTGCTTTATTTTTTTTATAATTTAGAATGAAATGAGAATGATTTTAACGACATTGCCGACCGATCTCGCAATAAGATATGATCTTAAGTTCAGTAGTAAAGAAAATACTGAAATATTATGAAAAGTAATACTGTGTCTCATCGATACGTTAAAAAGATTTAAAACGACATACAAACAAGTCAAGAAGTGGCTTAATACTCTCTACAGGTATCAATGAATTCATTTATTGTATAAACAACATGGTACTTTATATCGTGATAATCAGCGTTTACACAAAAACAGTCACACCAGTGAGGTAAATATTGAAATTATTTTTTTTTAAAAAAGCAACTTCAATTAACATTCGATATTTTTAATATAGAAAAAGGCCTGAAGAATCAAAGGTGCTAATTCACTTTTCAATTTGGATGATGAGCAGATTTCGAAGCATGATAAGAAACAATTATTGTCAATTTTGGGGAATAATTGTTATCATTCTCTCGAAGATTCAGAGACAGATTTGAAAGAGAAGGAAAAATGATCAATTAATGTTTATAATCTGAGAAGAAGATTAGACGAGGTTTGATAATTTTTAAAAAATTTATTTATAATTTTAGTTAAGTTTTTAATTAATTTTGATATTTGATTATATTAGTTAAGGGTATTGTTATAAGAGCTCAATCGTCATGTGTTTTCACTGCAAACTGCACAATTGATGAAAACTCGAAATTATAGTGACCATTTTATAATACCAATTCATTATCCTCAAAACACTCCTGACTGGACATTTGTAAATCAAAACACTTTAGCAGGCACCAATTTTTTCACACCCGGAACTGAAATTGAGGATCAAGATGATTACGTTGAAGAAGAAGAATAAATTCAACAAATTATAAATGCTAGCGAATTGTCTTCTATTGTTTATCTATATTTGTATTTATTATATTTTATAATTATATTTTATTTATATTTTATTTTATATTTTAAATTAATAAACCAATTATTATTAATTTGATTAAATTACGTTATTATAAATTAATAAATCGTCTAAAATGCGAAAATAGATATTAATAAGATTGTCTAAATATCAGAAATTTTATTTTACCGATTTTTTGATTACTTATAGCTGAAATATTATCAAATTTTTATTAACTAAATCGAATTTTGTTTGTTTTATTAATTAAATGAATTTAAGACAATTTTATCAGACATATAGCCGAAATATTACCAAACTTTTTAATAACTAAGTCAAATTTTGTTTGTTTTATTAGTTAAATGAATTTAAGCCGATTGTATCAAACATATCAAACTACTACTAATCGTTAATGTCGAATGTTTTTTTGTGTGATACCTGAATTGGCAACATTGGCTATAACTAAAAATGCTGATTGTTTTGGCAATGATTGGCAGAAATTAGATTATATTTTGGCCAACATTCAGCACTTTAAAAAAGTGATAAAATGGATTGTTTCGACTAGTGATAGGTGTGCTTATACAAGAAAAATTTGCCTTACAATTATTGTATCAGTGAAATGTCTACTACTTACAGTGAAGTAGAGGGGATATAGGTTTATTAGAATATAATCGAGATAGACTCTATTAGCGATATGAGAAATGGAAAAATAAGACTCAAGTAGAGTGCCAAAATATTTTAATTTTGCAGGCACAAATTTTAGCGTTACAGAATAATTCACCTAATCAAGTAAATATTGCAGGAATACCACAACCATTTTTTGACTGGGGTGATGATATTCCTGATTTTCTTACAAAACTTAGATTATATTTGCAAAACTAAGGTATAGATCTAGCAGATAATGCAGGAGGTCTACCAACAGGAAGAGATCAGGCAATAGGATATTTAAGAGGCTGTATGAAAGGAAGAACTTTAGAATGGTTCAATGATGAGATTACTACAAAGCAAAATTGGGAATTAACTAATCTAACTGATAGTACAGGACAAGCCAATTTAGTAGCAGTAAATGGACACAATGCTGATCAGATAGATGCTGATGGTTTAAATGAGATACTTGGACAACCTGAAAATTAAGAGCTGTAGAAGGCCCTTGGAATGAAGACTGATATATAGCAGGTGGTCGACCTAGTAATCTTGCACCAAATACACCAAATGCTGGTGCTGGTAATATCGTAATAATAGCTGGAATTCATTTTAGTCAAGCCGTATGGTGGCTAAAAACTCATTTTCCTACAGTAGAAGAAGAGCTTCAGGATCTGATGTATGGAACAATCAGAAAGGAAAATATGACTATAGATGAACTATATAGAAAAATATTACGAATAGGTAGACGAGCTAACTATAGGCCTGAAGAATTACATAGAAAATTCTTAGATGCCCTTCTACTTCCATGGCTGAAGATATTGGTGAACATTTGCCATTGGATGAATTAGCTAAAAAGCTTTATGAGATAAAATTATGCTGAATTGCTAAATATAAAAGAGATGGTATGTCAGATCCAATAAATTCTAATTGAGTATCTCAGCAAATATATGAACCTTCACCTGTTCTAGCCCTGCAATAGCAAGGAATATCTTTAGAAGATATGCAAAAAAACAATTCAGAACGCATTAGCTTAACAAAAAACTGAATACCAGTCTTTATTAGAAAAGCAGAAAAACGAATTCCAAGTACAGATGGCTCAACAAAGCAAGAAAACTCCTCCACTAATTCCACCTAAAAATATGGAACAGATTCTTGATATATATGAAAGTGCTAATCCTTTTCCTGATACACTTACTAAGGAAGAAATAATGAGAGTGATCGCAAAAACTTATGGGTCACCTCTTAAACCACAAAAGCCAGAAAAGTTGCAATCATCTAGAATTGATAGATTAGAATCAAAAATAGATGAAATCGGTCAAATGACATCTAAGTTTAGTAGGAGATCACTTAATGATCAATCTCGAAAGCCTTTTATTGCAGTAATTGCGGACAGAAAGGGCATAAGAAAACAATTGCCCAAGGTTAAATCCAATTTTACTCAATGTTACTATTCTCAACTTCCATCTACACAGCCCCAATATACGCCTCCAGATTCAGATAATGAGGAAGATGGTTGTGATAAAGTAGAAAATGGGTGGTATTATGCATCAGGAAAAAAAAACAGTTATTAGTAAATAAAAGCTTACATAATGGCTCTACTATCTCTTCTTCTGATCTATTAACTAGCCAACCTGAAATGTACGATCAGCTATTGTCTAAGCTCTCACTACCAATACGAAAAATAGGCTTGTCTTGAAATGCTCAGAAGGAAGAATCGAAAGAATCAGATAAGTGGTTATCATATTTACAATATCTGAATGCTAATATAAATGACTTAACTATTTCTGAATCTTTTTTAGATCCTGACAGTAAGTTTAGTGATATAAATGACCCAGCAATCAAGGCGTTTGGATGGAAGGCTGATAAACCATCTAATTTTACTATAAATGGCAATTTCAAGCATATCACTGATTTATTAGGATGGTTTACAGACATGCCAGTTACCTTGAAGGATAAAGAAGATAAAACAGTCAACGTTATTGGAAATTTTGTTCGTATTGATAATGATAAAACAGAACCAATGCTATTTTTTAGTATGTCAAACATTCAAAAGATTCAAGGCGTTTCCAAGCTAAATAAAAACCAGTTCCACATAAAATTATATGGAAAGGCATATATTATTCCAACCTTTAGCAAGGCTTCTATAGTCAAGGATTCACCAAAAGAGGATCAGGAATCATTATACGAAGCACCTTAGGTTTTAGCTAATTCTTCTAATCTGACTAGTGAGGGAGACTTAAAAAAAAGTGCAAAGAGCTTGAAAAGCGCCTCATAAAGACTGAAGAAATGCTCTATTTGACCTTAAGTACCGGTAAATTTCTTGCTGATACATGTGAATCCTTATATAAGGAGAGTGGTATTAGCTGTTAAACCCTTAAGCTTTTTACTACGATTAACTAGATTTTTAAGAAGAGATTCCACTCTATCTTCTTAGGATGTATCAGTCAAATTATCAGAGGAAGAGAACACACCATTTTTGTTATTTTTTTACCATACTGGTTGCTTCAGTAACTGGCTTCTCATCTATTTTAACCTTCTTTTTTTGACAATTCTTTTTTGGAATCTCTGTAGCCAGAAGGGATATAGATGATATTTCTGATACCACTTCAAGAGTCTGTTCCGTCTTATCCAAAGTAAGCTGATCGGAGGAAGATAAAATAAGCTCTTGTTAAAGACGCTCATTATTTTATAAACACGCTGAGCACCAATATGGAATTTTTCAGCCATTTTTTTGATGCATTAGGTATCTTACCTCTTGACTCACTAATCTCTTTAATATCAGATTCTGACAACTGAGTTGCATTGGATCGTTAAAATTTTTCATGGAGATGGGTGACCATTTTTTTAGTCAAAATATATATGCAAAAAACTACCAATAATTTTTTTCAATACTTTTCAATATGTATCAATATTTCTGGTAATTCAGTACATACCGATGCCTTTCAATACATATCGATATCCTTCAATACATATTGGTATTCTTCAATGTATATCAGTATTCTCTTTCAGTGTATATCAATAAGGATGAATATATCTCAGTACCTTTCAATACGTACCAGTAATCTTTTTTTTCAATAAGTATCAATAGGCATTAGATTCGCTAAAAAATATTCTGCTTTCTTATAAGTTTAAGCCCCCATCCCTTGGCTGAATTTTTTTTTGCCTAAAGTAAAAAAAATACCAATAAAATGCCCCAAATCCGTATCTTAAAAGATTTGGATAATAGTAATAAACTTGGAGATACTTCAGCTAATTATTATCCTTCCAGCCGAACAGAACTTGAAGATCAACTTTCTTGCGCAAAAAAAGATTGTGAAGTAGCTATTTATTGGCGGAGCCAGTTTGTGGATAACTATGATGTCTTAGATAGAGAAAACAAGCGCATGCAAGATGACTTTGATAAATCTAAAAATGAAAATGAAAAACTTTCTGATCGGGTGCACCAACTTGAAGAAGAGATAAGATAATTGCATTTAGAGAAAAATGGGTTTATGCTTCAGATTACTCACAATGATATTTCTCTTGCAGATGCTGAAAGCAAATTCTCTATAAAATCAGAGGAAATGTTAGCCCTTCAATCCAAGATGAATGAAGAAATACAGACTCTTCAAACTAGGGCAGAGGAATTAGAGCGGGATCTTTCTTTAGCACAGGAAGAGTTGTTAGAAATGGAATCTTTTCAATCTAGAGCAGAGGAGTTAGAGCGGGATCTTTCTTTAACACAAGAGGAGTTATCAGAAATGAAATCTCTTAGGCGTAAATGGAAACTGAGAAATACAGAACTATTTACTAAAAATATTAATTTAGATTTGGAGAAAAGGGATTTAAAAGACATACTAATTAAAAAAAAAATGAATTGGTGCAGATAAATGATAATTAGCCACAGCGCAAAAGGCATTAATAGAGAAAGACACCTTCCTTCAAGAAGCGGTCCTAAATAATACTCGTTTAGCCAAGCAAACATCTAGCGAGTCTGAAGTGATTGGAGGGAAGTGGTCACAAAATAACCACTCCACAATATCACCCATTATTGCATCAGTATTTGGCAAAGCTTTGATTAGTAATGAGAAATTTGGTTCTTTCTTTTTTCAGCTTGCGATTTTTCTTATAATATTATTACTAATTATATACTTTCTATAGCGCATATTCTCTCATCTATATTCATTTAATTCACCTTACAATGAAGAAAAAAATCTTTCGAATTATAAAATACCTTAAATAGAAATCAGAATTATGGATTCCCAATTCGCCATGCAGAAGAACCAAAAAATAAGACTACCCCTTATAAAACTTTACCTTATGAATACGGATGAGGCCACAAAGCATGAATCCTCCCAAATTCAATCTCACCCTGCAAGTCCATCATGGACTTTTCATATGCTAGTCACCGGAAAAAGTGAATCAGGTAAGACTAATATTTTGGGAAATCTTTTTCTTGATGATAAAGCTGAATATATATATAAAGGTAAGAAAGGAGAGTCTAGCTATATTGCATGCGATGATTTGATAGTTTGTGGTTATCATCCTGACGAGCGAATATGAGCATTTGTAAGATATATGTATGATATAATTTCAAAAGATCCAAAGCATCTTACTATAAAAATATACGATTTAGCTATATATCGCTAGAAAAAATCCCTAGTGTTAGAGCATTTTCGCTGGAATGAAGTACAGTGATTGTTTTTGAGGATATATGTCTAGCTCCAGAGTATATACAAAACCAAATTAGCCAATTTTTGGAAATGGGCGACATTGGAATATTTCAAGCATATATGCAGTAATATATACTTGGAAGATTAAAAGCACCTTTGGAAGCACCTTTGGAAGGTTTGGAAGTATAATTTATTAATAAAATTATTTGGATTGGAATAAAGATGGGAACTGTAATTAATATGTTGCAACTTTTAATGTTGCAACTTACATTGCAATTAGTTTAACCTATATATGTTGCAACTTATAATGTTGCAATATATATTGCAACTAATTTTAGCTTATGTTGCAACATTTTGTAAATTTGAAATCAATTGCTGTACCATTTTTAGATTGGAAGCTTCCAATCAAATTTTTTATCATTGGAAGCATAAAATGCACATCACCGCATATATGTAATGCAAAAATATCACAAAGCCCTATATTCATTCGTAAAATGCCTCTCACTTAGTAGTTTTTAACTCTGATAGCTCGCATGAAAATATTTCCAAGATCATTAGGCGTTATACTGATGATGCATCTATGGTCATTAATAGCTACCTTCGAAAAGGTAAGTTTGTTGTATTTGATTTCACTAGGCCGGAAGATGATCTCCTTGCAATCTGCCTAAGGTTTGACACTCCACTAAACCTGCAAAAGGAAATAGAGGCTAGGCAGAAACGCAAGAAAAAGAGTGCCTTAGCTAATGAGTAGAATTTAACTTTATAGGATACTAACTTTTTTTCGTAATTATAAAAAATTGGAATGGAAGAGCGCCAAGCCGAAAGACTGGTTATTTATATCAATCCTCAGAAAATGCGTGATCTTGACCGGGATCTTGCTTTACAAAAACTTTATTATCGACCTGAGAGATATTATCAGACTGCTGAAAAAATGTGAAATGCCTGTAAGAGAGCTGGATATGGGTTTACTTTGGCCATTATAAAAAATTGGCTAAACAAGCAAGCCTTATATCAGATTCACAAGCCTCAGCCAAAATTTATTCAGTAGACCTCCTTTAATAATATATAATTTTTAAATGAAGTACACTAATCTGATACCACTTCCATGCCTCATGATAAAGTAGGTAATCAGATTTACAAGTATAGAAGTGTTATCAAAGATGTTGCAACTAGATACTGACGTAGTTTTGCATTAACTGATAAATCTTCTGTACAAATGGTTAAAGCAATTCAGAAAATTTACAATAATCTTAATGATCCTCTTAACCTGCCTGAAGAATTTATTGTAGATAAAGGTACTGAATATATGGGCGAATGTAAAGATTTATTACTCAGTTATAATGTAAAAATTCAGTATGCTAACTCTAAACGTGATGTAGCTATTGCTGAACATGACCATCAAAAATTTGAAAAACATGCTTATTTTTGGCAAGATGCTGAAGATTTTCATTTGCTTTTAACTGATAAATCCAGAGCAAGGTTTAAGGGATTTCATATAAATGATGATATTTACAATAATACCCCTACTCGGTTAATAAGTATGTCTCCTAATAAGGCTGTAAAAAGAGCATTAAAAGGCAAAAAAAATAATAGCTAGACCTTCTGTCGAACATAGGAGACCAGTTGGTTATAATGAACCACTTTTACTTAGCTATACTGAAGTTCAGCATTTATTGGAATCCAGTGAATTAGAAGGTGGTAGAAGAAGAGCAACTGATTGCAATTGGTCTCCTGAAGTTTTTACAATTGATTCTTATTTAATAAAAGGAAATCAACCTGTTTTTTATAAGCTTTACAATAGTTCTAGACACTCATTTGTGAGAGAAGAACTACAAATCATCCTACCAGATTCAGTCTTACCACCCAAATATATTCTCAAGCATTAGACCTTCCTCCTCTCTCCTCCACTTGGTATAGGATTTGTTCAAAGACATCGCTTATATAGTCATCTATTTCAGCTCTATTATAAACTATAATTTGCTTGTTTCTAAGCCAGTCAGTTCATGAATTCTTTTTTCCTGCTTTATCATTTCCAGGTTTATTATCTATAAGAAATTTGGTAAGAGAACATAGAGTGAACTTGAATTGCTCATGCTTGTCAAATTCTTTTTCGAGTATTTCCTTAAATTGTTTTCTTCAGCTTTCTAACATTTTTCATATGTCGCTTCTATTATCTGGATGAGATCAGGAAACTTTGCACGATGCACTGCTATAGCTCTTCTTTTGAGTGCTGTGCCCAATTCTTCTTACTCCCTAAATTCTAGGTCTCTTTCTTGTTTATCAGTAATTTCTCCTAAGTGCTCAAATTCTTTATTAATCAAATTCTTAGATTTATTATCATTCCTATGAGCTTATATTCTAGGTCCAAGACCGCCTTCAGGCTCTGTTATCTTTTCATATTTCTCTAATTCCTCTTCTAACTGCATCTTCATCATATTGCTCAAGATTATGACAAAGAGTTAAACAATCATCCAAGTTTTCCATTTTATTACATTCACCTAGACTCTTCCTATCTTTTTACTAACCTTTTTTCCCATGTCTTTAAATGCTCTTTAGGCTTGCGAGTATTTGGATTTACCCACTTTTCAGCTTCCTTATTAGTAATATAATCTCTACCAAGAATAGGGGTTGGGTTTACTTTTCCCTTTGATCTCACCTATTCTCTTCATTCTTAAGTAGTACAAGGGCATTAGTATTGCTTCGGGAGCTGGTCTTGTAGACTGAATAATTGTAGTTTAATTAGAATCCCGAATAGCTTCCTGATTATCAGTTCGAAGCTTACATAAATTCTTTCTTTTAAGGTGCTTACGAAGTTTATTGGGATTTGCTAAAGTTCTTCCACAACAATCACATGTTGTATTCTTTTTATCACTTCCAGTTTTTCTAACCATGGTGTTAGCTCTTACTGTCGCGCTATTACTTGCTTATAAAATTTTTCTTTAATTAATTATTTCCTATACCTTTTACTTTTCGATCATAGAGTTGTTACTGAAGGCACTATTTATAGGTTTATCGAAGTGTTCTAACTATTGCAAAACTGAAGCATTAAGTAATTATTATTAATCTTTTTCGAATCTAGTAATAGTAGAATAATCAGAGAATATTCTTATCCATATCTTAGCAACTCTGGAAAGACTTGTGGGAGAGCTTGTATTAGGCCTGAAGGATGCTGATTTCATTGGAAAGCTAAAAAATGGCTACCTTGTTCTGATTGTGAAAAGCCAACTGCCTCTATTTGCAGACGATATCCAGCACATATTAGAGGCTATTATGTCACCCAATACTATGATAGATTGCGAGCTAAGGCTTTAAATCTGGTATATACTAAGGGTATAATGGAAATGTAATATGTATACTGCCGAGCTAGCATATTTTCGTTAGATTATTATTTTTTATACTTTTCATTCCTATTAGCTTATCCAGATTGCTTTTTTTTTATATGCTATTTAGTAAATTAGCCTGTGCAGAACCTGTTCTTAGCTAAGGAAAAATTGGGATAATTCCGCAGAGTTTTCTGGATTTTTACAAAGGACATTAAAGTATGACTTATTTTTTGTATGATTTATTATATTTCCTGACCTTCGAAAGCTATTAAGCATACTTCCTGTTATATTTTTTTTCGTATGACTTATTATGGGGAGTTGGGATAAAATTTTCGTATGACTTATTTTTTCGTATGATTTATTTTAAGGTAATTGGAACAAAAATTCTTTATTATATTTCCTGACCTTCGAAAGCTAATAAACATACTTCCTGTTATACATTTTTCGTATGACTTATTTTTTGAGGGAAATGGGATTAAATTTTCGTATAACTTATTTTAAGAAAATTAGGACAAAAATTTTTCATATGACTTAATCTGTGATTTTTTGTATGACTTATATTTTTCATATGACTTATTTTGAGGGAATTGGAACAAAAATTTTTTGTATAACTTAATTTCCGTATGGCTTAAAATAAAAATATGCTATTTAATGAGCTAACTTACATAGAATCCCTTCCTGATATATTAATTTTTCGTATGACTAAATAAATATAACTAAAAGATGATATAGAAATTAAGATTCTAGAGCTGTTAGGAGCTCTTCTAATATAATAAGAAAAATTGATATGCTTTTTAAGGTTGGAAAGCCCATACATATAATGTTTCAGTGGGGGCCGGATCTTCGGTCCTTAAACCCCTACTTCCACATTGTGTTTTTATAAAGAAAAAATTCTTATTCAAAACTTTAATATATCTAAAATTAACTTTAATTAGTAAGTAAAATTCCTTTTAAATTTAAATGGAAAACCTATAAAAGGGTATAGTATAAATTTCATATTATATCATGTAATCAAATTTAATAAAAAAAGTATAAATAAAACATAAGCCTTAAAAACTTAAAAAAAAAAACTTTTATAAGTCCCATAGTGTTACAAAACGAGTCATATTTTGATTGGGTGAAAATCATTATATAAATTTAAAAGAATATATAATTGATAATCATTTCATTTTTTATTCCCTTAACTTTAAGTAAAACTAAATTTAATAAACTGCAATAATGTTTGAAGAAGAAATACGATTTTTACGAAAAATGAATATGCGCCAGGTAAATTTTATGAAGTTTGCCTGTGAAATGAGTAATAACCCCATAATTGATACCTTTTAATAAAATTTATACTCAGTTGGCGCAACAAGTTTTAAATTTCTTGATGATAATTTCATCTGCATTAATGGTATGGAAAGCATTAGCTCTTTATACAAATAGCGAAAGTCCTATCGTAGTAGTTTTAAGGTACTAAAATTAAATTCATAATTTTTTAATTAAATGAATTTGATCTAATTGTAACTGAATTCATACTATAGTGGGAGTATGGAGCCAGCATTCTATCGAGGAGATTTATTATTCTTGGGAATGCCAGATGAACCTTTAAGAGTTGGTGATATATGTGTATTCAAAATACCAGGAAGAGATATTCCAATTGTACATCGTGTCATAAAATTACATGATGAGTAAGTTATTACAATTGTTGTAAAATAAAATTTGTCGCGCGGAAAAAAATTCACTTCAATATTTAATTTATTTTAGGAAAGAAACAGATAAACAATATATTCTAACAAAAGGAGATAATAATCAAGTGGATGATCGAGGATTATATAACAAAGGACAACTTTGGATTCACAGAGAACATATTATTGGAAAAGTTAGAGGGTATGGTTTATTCTTTTTCTGATATATATTTAAAAAAAAGGATAAAATATATTTTTGATTTTGATCCATTTAATCTAGGTTCTTGCCATACATTGGAATCATTACAATTCTCATGAATGATTATCCTCAACTTAAATATGTATTAATTGGATTCCTTTTATTATATATGTTGGTTAATCGAGAATAATAATACCTTACTGTATTAATAAATATTACTTGGAATGAACTTTTTAATAATGCATTTATTAATTAATAACCAAACCTACATGATATTAAATCATTTGGTAGAAGTATTATATACATTATCAATGAATTTTGCAAGATCCAAGTCTCTTTGAGATAGACCTTGACACTCGTGTGTTGCAAGAGTTATTTCAACACGATTATACACCTTTAAATAGATGAATTTAGCATTATCATAAGGTCTGCTTAAAGATATAAATTGCATAAAAAAAAGTATTTTTGATTTACATTAAACCATTCCGGATGATGGTCAACCTTATCAGCTCTTAACGCAATTCTAGTCATGAAGCCAAAGGCTTCATTAAAATTCTTGAAAGTAAAAGTTTTCTTTACTGCGTCACGATTTTCTACCATTTCCCAAGAGGACTTGGTAAGTAAAGGTGAAAGAAGCAATTTACGTTCCTCTTCAGTTAACTTTAGTATTCCCATTTTTCTTGTTGAATAAAATGAATACTGTAACGGTGGCAAGACCTGGGATAATGTATGAAAAGGCAACGGTTTTGAAAGTTTCCGTAACTGAAAAACAAATGTATTCATTTATCGGAAATTACACGTGAGAAGATTTCCATTTACTTACATTAGGATTAACTGCATGCATTAGAAAAATCTTTATCCTAAAAAAAAAAAAAAAAAATGAAAAAAGCTTTAACGAATTACGTTCTAATATGGAATCACCATTTCCAGCCGGTCCAATTATTTTTTCTTTTGAACTTCTTCCTTATATATATTTTAATGTAGCATTTGTTATAATTGCATATCCATTATATAGGATTATAGGAGGGATTTTTAATTGGGAATTAGATATTAAAACACCCGCCAACCTCTTTAGTGATATGATGGCACTAGTTAGATATGGGTTTATTGTATTTGTTATTGGTGGATATGCAAGAACGTTCAAGTAAGTTCCCAATTTAGACAGGTGTATACACATAATTCTTTTTAATTTCTTCTCGATTTCAATAAATACAGCTGGATTATGATTTTATCGTTTTATATGGCATTATTTGGATTTGCCTTATTAGCAGAACTTCCATTTGCGAGACATTCATTAGCGACACAGAACAATTGGCCAGTACGAATGTGGATATTGTTCATTTTTGCAGTTCTTGCCGTATTATTGATGGCAGGATTTCATATTTATTTAATTATAGATCAAGATGAATCTAGATCAAAAGATAATATACATATAGCCTTGTATTTAGGATGTCTAATAATACCCGTAATATTAATGACCTTGGGTTATATTTTTAAACAAGAACAAAACACGAGATTTTTAACAAAATCTTATTTCAATGTAATAAGAATCTTTAAAAGAAGACCACAACTACCATCAGCAAATGAGAACCAACAGCCACAACTTGATACTGAAGCTCTAGTACAAGTTCAACCTTTTGGAAAAATTGCATTAATTCATATACATCATTGGCAAATCTTTTATACTCTTGCTTTTTTCACTAGATTTGATCATCCCGTTTCTCAAATTGCTGGTGGTATAAGTTTAGGAATTTATACCCAAGGAATTGGAGCGTAAGTAATAAAATCTTTGAAAAGATTTTCTTAATAATAATAATAATGAAATTCCTTATTTATTAATTAATAGATATGGACCTGATAATTTTTTGGAAGAAATATGAAAATATAATGTAGATAATAAAATGGTTCATCGATTTGATTGATTTATTTTCATGTGAAATTCTAAAAATGACATCTATCATAAATAATCTTTCAATATTTAAATTTTCAAAATTTTATTTTTTTTGCATGAAAAAATTAGTTCAATGTTTCAACACATAATAAACTCCAACATTATTTTGTTGAGGAGTCTGTGGACTTCCTGGTGACATATGGCGTATCGGCGTCATATGCTCAGGAGAAATAGGTATTGAATGCATTATAGGATGAGGAGTTTCTGGATGGGAATAGTTATTAGATATGCGTGTCTTGATCATATCAACCAAAGCTCGAATTACGAAGATTACTAGAACAATTGCAGCCATAAAAAACTTAAATTATGAAATGAGATATCATTATTATGAGTTGTTGATTAATCAGGATTCGAGAAAAAAATTTGAAAATTTCGCACCATGGTTTTATATGAAAACTGTTCCATCAAATTATTGATGATTTCACCTAATACCTCGGCGGAAATTGTTGCTCTATTATAAACGATTAATTAGTTCCAATTTTGTTGCTAATAAACGGAATGTCATTTTGAATATTTATTACCTTGCTAGAACTGTCGGATCACGATTCATACACGTAAACATTTTATGATTAGTAGTTCGGATAATAATAAAAAGATTAAAAATGACAATTTATATGAATTTTAATTAAAGGATATTTCTCCCATTGAGTACAAGGACCTTCTAATGCTGGAACTCGATCTCCTGGTGTACATCGATTTTCAAGATAACTTTTTGAGCAATCAGATATTGATCTTTGTAATTCTTTTAATTTGAATTAAATGTTATTAAGTAATATTATTAATGTGTTTAAATACTTACACCATTAAATATTTTACCTTGTGAATATTCGTCCGCTTTAATTTCTATCGCTTGTTGAATAGCCCAAGAAAATTGCAATATATAATATAAGAGTACGACGATGAAAATTTTTGGTGTCATATCAAGTATTCTAAATTATAAATGAGCAGTTAAGTAACTATCAACCTATCAAATAACAATTTCCTATATTATATCAATTTCCTTACAGATTTATATGGCGAGCAAAATCATGTCCTGAACGATCTTCTGACTTTAACTTTTAATATTGCAATCATTAATATTGTAATTCTCAGAGAATAATTAAGATCATATTTTATATAATTTTACCTTATTATTATTACTATTTTTGGCATCACCTGTATCTTCCTTGGGAAACGTGAATTGCATATTTTCATTGGCAAAAGGATGGATATGCTTTCTTTTTTTTTCCTCTCTTCTTTTTAAGGCATTCCCGGATATCATTCGTGCGCCCAACTTTCCAAAATTAGGGGAATTTAAACGTTTCCAAGGACTTTTAATGGGTTCAGGAAGCGAGAAAAGAAACGGTGGTCCATATCCGAATTTCTTATTTCGATCTGAAAAAGTGAGATTCGTCGACGTGGAAGCAGCGTAATGCCCTAAATTGAAGTATAGTTTTAAGTTATATCAACAAACTTTAGAGGAAAGGCTTACGATTTATGGTTATTTAAAAAGAATTACGTTTCTTTGAACAATCCTCTTTTGAATTTCCATCATTTGGAGTTTTCATAGGGCTAAGCTCTCCACTTCGTTCCTCCAATTTTACGCGTTTTTCTTTTTCCATATAACAAAAAAAAACGAACGGTATTTATTTTTTTAATTTATTAGTTATCCGTCACGTAATTTATGTTTGTTGTGGTGTCATGTGATAAAGTTAATAAGTTACAAATTAGACCACTAAATTGTTTTATCTTTTTAACAGCTGACTAAGATATCACAAATTCTCAAATAGAAATTACTTCAACAAAAAAAATAACCGATTTTGAAGATCATCATGTGATTCCAAGGACATTAATATAGGAACTTGAAATAAAAATTTTTAAATAATATAAATAAATGATGAACGCATGGCAAAAATGGCAGAATTTATATATTCCAAAACGGTTTATAGTACTTGGCCTTTGTGCTCTTGCTATATTGATTAGCTATGCAGGTTAAATCTTATCTTGATATATATACCTTTTAAATAAAAAATTTACTAAATTCGACTTCGATACTTCCAAAGATCGGTCGAATATAGCAGTTGCTATAGTTTATATGTCCAATGAATTTGGATGGTCTTCCACGACTCAGGGACTAATATTATCTTCGTTTTTTGTTGGTTATTTGACGACACAAGTTTTGGGAGGAGTACTTGCGGATAGATTTGGTGGCAAATGGGTGCTTGGAGTGGGTAAGTAATCTGAAATGAAGGTAATTGGGAACTAAATGATCTGTACCGACCTGACTTTCATTCTATTGGGTGGTTGGATGATTTTTTGATCCGGGTTTTTGCGGATAATTAATAAAGTCGATAAACAAAATCTATCCCTCCTTTTTTTTATCAGCCGCTTTTGGTTGGACAATCTTTACTTTGCTCACACCTAGTGCCGCAAAGTTGGGTTTTAATTACCTTGTGTTATGCCGAATTTTACTTGGAATTAGCGAAGGTGCTTGTTTTCCAAGTGTTCATTCTTTAATTGCGTCTTGGGCTCCATTGGAAGAACGTTCTCAAGCCGTTGCTATCGTAACAACTTCAAATGTTATTGGTTCCGTAGTTTCTTTACCTGTATCCACATGGTTAGGGTCTAGTCCTTGGGGATGGGAGAGTATTTTTTGGTTATTTGGATCTGCTGGAATTGCTTGGTCATTGTTGTGGCAAATTTATGGTGGAAGCAACCCGAGTACTTATCCAGGAATTTCAAAAGAAGAATTGGATTTGATTTTGAAAAACGATCATAAAAGAACTAATTTAGGTTATAGTGTACTAGAATCTAATAGTGAAGAAGAAATAATGGATAATGAAGATATTATTAATGTTGAAAATAATGAAATTGCCGAAGACAATGTTAATTTAATTTCAGATGAATTTGATGAACCTGTTTCATCTATAAAAACTTCAAATCCGTCACATATCCCATGGAGATTAATTTTATCTAGGCGGGAAGTATGGGCGATACTTGGTAAATTTTTTCTTCGGCAAAATCAGAAGAAACTTTCAAATTCTTTATGATGAAATTATTCCCACTGATAAAGATCATTCAATTTTAAAGTTTCATATTTTTGTAACTCTTGGGGGTTCTTCATATTTTTTACATGGCTTCCTACTTATTACTTGGATCGTTTTCGAGTTGACATAAAACACTTGGGGTACTTCGCAGGTAAAGTATTACATTAAAATATAATATAAGCAACTATTATATATATTTTTACACAAGATATCTTTGTTAGTTCTTCCTTATATTGTCCAAGGAATAACTGGATTTTTTGTTGGAATGCTCGCCGATTATCTTATACATAGAATTCAAGTTCGTGTTATAATTGTGAGACGATTGGCTCAAATTATTGGTAGTTGCGGAATTGCCATATTCCTTTTATTAGTAAGTGAAAAAAAAATTATATATATTTATTTCTTAGAATTTATATTTAAGGACATATTTTATATTCGAAATAGACGGTATATTTAGCGAAGACTCCATTAGAAGGAATTATTTTTTTGGCAATAGGATTTGGATTGAATTCGTTTACATGTGCAGGCATGTCGGTTTCTCAGGTAATTAATCTAGCATAAACTTTCACGACTTCAATAATAATGATAATATCATTTGATTATTTTAATCGCGTGAAAAGTTGGATATCGCACCGCGGTACAGTGGCGTAATTTACGGTCTTGGAAATTCGCTCGGGGTGATTCCAGGCATCTTAGGTGTAGCAATAACCGGATGGATTCTAGATTCTACGGAAAGAAACTGGAGCATTATATGGAATTCTTCCGCAGCTTTGTATTTTACCGGTACATTGGTATTTATATCATGGGTTGGAGAAAAAGTCGTTATTGAGTGACATTTATGTTTAAATTTTTAAGATATTTCCTTGGTTATTTATTTCAGTCACTATTATGTGACAAATGTCTCAAATGTATCTAGCCATCAAAATAATTATAAATCTAAAGAAAATAAAAGTAATCTTGAAATAAATTAAATGCAAAGGTTCAAATATTAAAATTATAAAAATATATCCCAGAATTATGTCTAAGAGTAAATAAATGCTTGTTAAGTTTCCTACTCATACACAAAAATAAATAAATATTAAACAAGTATAAAATCATCTGCCAACTCAAAGTCATCCACATTCACACCATCAAATAAACGTTGGTTACAAGAAGTGTTGACATTATTAAAATGGCGATAAGGTTCCTTAGGATCTACCCAGTTTCCACATAGATAACAAAAGTGTGTTTGACAACGCGTACATAGCATATGATTACATCCCATGGATTTCTCAATAGCAGCTTCGCATTGTGGACATTTTTGAGTGTTTGACTTCTTCCATTTATCAGTTTCCATTTCTTCTTGAGCATCTTTGACCAACTTTTCTATATTCTTCGTTCCATAACGAAGTTCAAACATAGATTTGGTAGCTTCATCAGCTGCCATATATTCTTGAACGACCTTTTTGATATTGCTTATCGCACATGGTACACCAACTCCATGCCTATTTATTATTTGGAAGTAAGTAAAAAAAAAAAAATAATTTTTTAAAAAAAAAAGACAACGTACCAAGTTCGTTGACAGAACCAACAAAAGGCAAATGTACATTTTGTACAAACACATAATTTCTCAACAGATGAATCTTTTTTCACAGGTGCCTGACATACTTTACGAGGACAATAAGTCACCAAAGGATCCGTCTCTAATTTTTGTTTTTCTAATAGATCGACGTATCTTTGTGACATTTCAGGACCGACAATTTCTGACATTTCTTCTTTAGTTAATTTATTCTGTAACTTGCAACCAAGATCAGGACATTTGACTTGTATTACAGATCCTTCCCGAATTAGGATTTCAAAATATTCACGAAGACAAATTTGACAAAATACATGTTGACATGAATTAATTCGATAACATTTATCACCATGTTTTTCTTCAAGACAAATCCCACAAGTAAAATGATCATTGATAAAATCTTGATTTTTGGCCTGTTGATCGTAATTATGTATTAAATTTTTAAGTGTTGTTTGACCAATGTTATCTAATAAGTAATATTACGAAATTTGAGGAAAAAAAAAATTTTTGAAAGATGATTCCATTCTATAAATGAATTCAATTACAAACCATCATAAAGTCTCAAAGAGGATGATATTTGCAAAGAATCCAAAGCTTTATTTTGTAAGAATTCAGCAAAATTAAATATAATCTATAAAGATAAATTTATAATATGAATAATACAATTTTTTTTTTAACCTTTAACCATTTCAAATATTTCATTGAAAGACATACCGCATCTCTCTCTTCTTCCCAAATTTTTAAAAGTTCTTCTTCCAATAATCTTATCCATTCACATCGCATCCAACAACATTCAAGCTCAAAATGTAAGGACTCCTCGATAGGGTAATCGCTTGGCATCGAAAATATGATTTTGACCGGTGGTAAATATCGAACTTTAAGTGGCAGATCGTTAGTTGAATTTTTACCACCGGTAAAATATATCATAATTTCATGTGGAGTTGATATTCGAATCGTGAGAGATCCTTGGTAACGTGGAGAATTTCCATGGTTTTCTGTGTATGTGAAATCTTGAGGATAAATTGCCTGTTACAATATATAGAAGTTTATAGGAACGTGATACAATGAGCACAATCAGACACTATTTGTACGGACTATTATTGATAAATACTTTATTTTACCTCAAGTGCCAAAATTTCATTTTCTTGTTTTATTTGACATTCTTGACAATCTTCAGTTGAATAAAGCATAATTATAGTTTGAAAAAAAAAAATATTTATATTTTTGAGCTGATCGCTAAATTTTATTTTAACTGCCATCACAATAATATTAAGCAAAATAACGTGATCGTCGAGTACATTGTAAAATTCGCGAAATTCTCACTAATCACGTGCGCCAAAGTCGTATGATTTTTTTTTAGAAATAGGATTTTATTTATTGAACAATTTTATTATAAAATTTCCTAATCTTTATAGATATAATAAAATAAACATAAATATGAAAGGTATGTAAAGCAAAACCAAATTCTATACCTTTTCATTAATTGAATCAGTTCTAAGTATTTTAAGGATTTGTGGAGGATTTCACGAGCCAGATTTTTACCAAGAGAAGATTTTCTGCTATTGGTAAATACCCTAAAAGTTGCTTTGCGTCTGATGTCATGTTGGAATATTACCAATTAATATCATTTGCGATACAATACTCATAGCATCACAAAAACATTTTATTTTAATTTATTAATACCAAGTTTATTAAAAAATTTCAATAAATTAATAAAATAAAATTCAAAAAATTTATTAACATTGGTCAAACATGTGATGCTTTTAATATTATTTTTATCCATCCCATGTCACTCAATGGTTTCTAATAATCTTCCTTCAAGATCTGATGATATAAATCACCATTCATATGACCATAAATTCAGCATTGTTACTAATACCACCAAATGTAAAACATCTTTATACTGTTACATGAAAATCATTTAGAAGATCTTCTTAATGTAGATCACTAAAACTTAGTCGATATCATTAACATCGTTTATTTCGTTTACCTCATTTACATAGTTTCTTTAGTTTATTTATTTTATTTATTTTCTATAGTTTATTTATTATATTTATTATATTTATTTTATTAAGTTAACATTATTGTCAAACATATATATTTTATTTTATATAAATATAGCTGAGAATTCTTTAGTTAAAAGAACAGTTAAGTTCAGTTTTAGATAAGTTAAGTTAAGTTATTAAGATAGTTTAATTTGATTTATTAGAACATTTGTACAGTATAGAGTGCTGACGTTAAGGCAGTACTCATTTGTTATTATATATCAAATAAACAATTGATACCTACACTTTATCCCATCTCAACTATAAATTAAACTTTCTGCTTACTACCTATATTATCTGTTCGCTTATAATATTTAAGTAATATTAAAGAATTGACTGTAACAATAGTAAGGAATTGGACTTCCTCTAGCCTAATACTAATGTTCTCCTTATCTTTTTTTTTTATTTCTTTACTTTTTCTTTTATTATATTATTATTAATAAATCTATTTACTTATTTATTATTATTAAATACAATGTTTTGTAAATCTTAGTAACAACTTACTACTGTATATTATAAGTTATAGTACCCTAGGTATCTTGTAAATTCGGACGATTGACCTTTGTATTAAAGACTTATATAACTATTAAAAATTGTTTAATGTATAATTTCTGGTTAAAATTAGATTTCTAAATAATAAAAATAATAGAAAATGTAATTTTTTTTAGAAGAATATAATACATATGAGGAATACTATAGCCCGCAATATATATTAGTCTTCGTAAATTATAAATCTTAGTATATACAGCTTTATGAATCTTAGTGATAACTTATAAACCTTTATGCTAAGTAAATTTTTATAACAAACTATAAATCTTAATGAAATATAACCTTTATGAGTATTAGTAATACATTAACTGCCTTTGTAAATCTTCATAAAACTATATTAGTTTTAGTAAAACCTAAGTAAAATTACTATGTAAATTAAAAAGAGTTATCACTTAAACAGTAGGGCAAAAATGTGATTTCTGGGACAAAAATCCAAAAGATATCCAGAAAGGTTTTCTAATCACCTACGAACCAATTTTAGCTATATGAATCAACTATAGAATTCAAGCTTCTAGCTAATTTTAACTCAATTATAGATAATGATATCGAATTTGACTAGGAATTAACCTATTTGATACCAAGAATTACAATGTTTGATTTAACTATTTTAGCCTGATTTTAATCCCAAATAATATTTCAAAAAATTTTTACTATTCTATTTGCCTCAGGAGAGGCCATCAAAAATCAAGGAACAAAATAACGTGATTTGAGCTGGGCCTGACCATGTAAGCCCAAATTATATACTATATGCTAAGTCTAACCTTGAAGAGGTTATATTTAGCTATTATCTAGTTTGCAAATTAAAAGCTTAATGATTATGTTCTAACACGTTATCAATTTATCAATATACAGGAAACCATTCTAAAGCCATTTCCTTTA